ATATATATATTTATAACTAGCGTTAATTGCACATGAAAATCTGAAAATCTGAGGGGAATTTCCTCGATTTTCGATTGTTGACTCTTTTCTTATTGTAATCGACTGATGAATAATAGACTGGTTAATTTTTTGAGAAATTTCTTGAGATTTCCGTGTTTGTGCAATTAATTTTATGAATTTGATGAGTTAGTTTTTTAAATTATTCGCTCTCACAGCAAAGATTTAAGAAAAGTTATCGAATTGGATTTCGTTAAAGTTTTATCTTATTTCTCACAGCACTGTGTATAATACCCAGGCGATTCGAATTCACAGAGTTTATCGCTATTGCAAAATGAACCGTTTTTGGCGCATTTCCGACCTTTATGACATCGCTTTCCCTTTACATATAATTTCTTGAATGATTCTCCACTGTAAAATTCTTCTTGAAATGTTCGAAAATGCATAAAAAAATAAAAAAATAATAATAAAAAAAATAATCTGAAGGCGGAAAAATATTACTTCGGCCAGAATTTGCAAACGATATACTGGATATGCCTTTGTTCCCTAATCTTTTTCTTTTCAGAAAAATCTTCAGTTTCTTCAATTTCATCATCATTATTATTATTATCCGGAAAACTGCACAAAGGATTCATTGCGCAGCCAATATCTGTAGTTAATCCAGATGCAACCTAAAATATCGCGGTGCTAAGAATCGCAATATGGTGAATTTATATCAGTCGTAGTCTATCCAAAAGCGCAGTTTTTTTAAGAATTAAACCTGTATGAATTCGTCATATGTGCCCAAAAATTCGCACGTTGACAGACTATTATCCTCGAAATCGTCTTCTACTCTTTTCACCCATACCTTTAGTGCTTCATGTATCGGTTCAGCCAAGGCTGTAAATGTTTGAAAGATTTTCAATGAAATCTACATTCACAAATGTGATTGATTATTTTTATCGTTAATTTCTGTAAAAAATCTCTAAAGATTTCATTCATTCCATTCCATTCTTTTCCATTCCATTATTTCCTTTTATCATTTCATTTCTTTTCTGATTTCTTTGCATTCATTTTCAAAAATTACGTTTAAAACCGCTGTTTGCAGGTCGAAATACAAAGTGGGTAGCTTCTCCGACTTCTTCATCGTCTGATGAACCATAACTACATTCAGAAACTTTTTCCCAAGCCATATTTTCTAAAGAACAATTCCATCTCTAAAAATTTGAGAGAGCATTTAGTTAATATGTGCTTCATATGTGAAATAGTGTGAATTATCATAAGTCAGAAACTTTTCGCTAAACTTTTGTTAATTGGCAATAACCTAAAGAGTTATCCCGCATTTATTTCTGTTTTAATAGGTTATTCATAAAATTATACTTATTTTTAATGGATTTAATAAATAAATAAAATTATACTTATTTTTAATGGATTTAATAAATAACAAATTGCTTCTTTTAATCTTTACTGCTTTTTTTCACCTCGTTTCCATAAAAATTTTCATTATTATAACAAAAATATAAAAACATTATTAAAAAAATGACATTGGGGTAAGATGGGTCAATAGATTGATATTCGATTCCGAGTGCGGATACTAAAGTTACATTGCCTCAGAAGTAAACCTCCTGAAAATTCCAGGGTGATGTTGGCGGCCCATTTGTTCTTCTATCGCTAGGAATTACCTGGCATTTTTGCCGACTATGAAAAGCCAGCGGAGCGGAAAGAGCTAGTAATGGTGCGAGTTTTTTAAAAAAGAAAACCGCATTCTTCTTGCTTGATCCTTTGCCGACAGCATAAATTCATTATTTAATTATAAATTGATAATTTTAAAATTAACCATTTTATACATCTCTCTACCCTTTGGAAATTTGGCGTTTTTGGTCCGAAATTTTCCATTTACAAGTTCCTTCCTGAATGTGTTTATCGCATCAACAGCCTTGTCACGATCGAAACCACGTTCCCGTTCTCCAACGCATGGTGTACGTGTCGCTGAAACAAATTATATGTAAAAAAGTAAGGAATAAGGAATTAAAAAAAAATTGATAATAGAATTGATAAAATATACAATAAAAAACTAAAATTAAAAATATAAATACTATAAAATAAAATGAATTAATTTTCAATGAAGAATTTACTTGATGGTGGTCGGTGAGCCAAACCTGAAATTCATTTTTATTAGCAAAATTCTTCATGCAATAAACGAATAGTTTTATTGTTTCATTAGTTCAATTTTTGTGAAAATTTTCTGTTTTTTGTGAAAATTTTTATTATATTGCTTTTTTTCTAAAAATTCTTTTAGAATTTTTCATTCCCATTTTAATGCGCTATAGAGAATTCAGCCATAGTTATTTTGTATTTAATTGCAAAAAAGCCTTCTGCGTATAGTGCCACTGTCGAAAAAATGCTCTCGTAATTAACAATTTTCGGTTGCACATTATGCATTAAAGCCATTTAATGGCTTTTACTGCATGTATTATAGAAATCAAGAAAATAGCTTTTCTAAACAAACTCGTGAAACAAAAAACAAAAAAAAATCGCCTAAATAAAAATGAAAGATAGCCTTGATGGGAAACTTTTTAAGACGAAGTAAGAATCCATAAGATTGGAAAAGAAAAAGTGAAAAATATGTGAAGTGAATAACCTTTTGAAGAAAAAATAGGTGCACCTGAAATTCAAATCATTTTTATTAATTGAAGTGTTTTTTAATTAATTTTTTCTTATAAATTGTTTAAATTGCATGATTTAATACGTAGGAAAATGATAAAATAAGCGATAAAATGATAAGTAATAAAGTAATAAAGTAACAAATAATTAAGTAATAAAAATGAAAATGATTAAAAATGGCATCTATTTTAAGGTTTCTTTTATATAGAATAACCCAATCAAAGGAATCACTTATTGATAGAAATACTGATAAGTCGCTGGTATAAGTCAGATTTTTGATGAAAAGAGATTATCCGAGAGATTAAGATTAAGAGATTTTTTCATTTCTGTCGTCCAGTAAGAAATTCAAGTGATCCAGAATCCAAGCATTCAAAATTACTCCAAAATTACAGCAGCTACTCATTAAGCTATTTTCTAACCCGCATGCATGAGATTAGTAAACGAATTGAAAACTTACTTATCAAGACAAGAAATAAAATCAAAAATGAAGATGCCATCGCATTTATACTGGCACAATACTTACGAAAAAATGAATATTTGGCTGTGAAATGATTTCTACCGACGCTTTTAAATTGTTTTATACGTGAATTTTGCCGCAATAACACTTATTCGGATTTTTTTAAGTTTCGTTTTGTTCGACATAGAGATTATTGTTGATCATCTGGTTTTCGAAATATGTTACAATATTTGTATCAAATCTAATTGTTTCCTGCCTATTCCAGTAAATATTGGCGTCACTAATGCTATCAAATGTAAGAAATAGGATGGCTAAAAGTGCGGCGCCAAGATATATCCAGAAAAGTTTTCCAAGCATTTGGGGGCTTACTGCCTTTAAAAAATAAAAAAATGAAAAAAGTGGGAGAAAAACTTTAACCGTGAACCGTGAAATCGTGATGTAGGAATTCACTTAGTCGAAAAGTCAGACAAATTCAGTAAAAAAATAAAAGCAATAAGTCATTGCATCCTTCCATTTTTTTTTTCAAAAATTTTCCTTAAAATAAGAAAAAAACGCTTATATTCGGCGAATAGAATAATTTTTTTAATAATAATAATTATGATTTCCTATTTTAAAAAAAATATTCTTTAAAAAGTAATAATAAAAATAATTTTTTGCAAAAATATTTTGACACAATTCGTCTTATAGAATGATTTCACAAATATTTTTTCTAAATTTGTAAATGGAAATATTCGATGGCAGAAAAACAAATGAGCCTTTCGAAATTAAACTATTGTCTAAATGCAATTTATTTGTTGGATAAATTTTCTCGAACTAAAAAAAATTGGCAATTTTCATTTTGCAACAATGTTCACAGTATAATCATAATCATCACCACACAATCATTTTATATTTATTGGCCTCTGGATTTTTCCAGTTTTTCACTTCTGAGAATGACAGCACAATTTTTTCCTTTGCAGCTAAATTAACAGATATATCAAAGTTTGCAAAAAACTCTCTCGTGCGTATCTCAAATTAGGTTCTCTGCTATTTCGCTTGCATAATTTTGGTTACTTGTTCTCAATTTTATGAGGTTTTCGCCGGTGGAAGGAATTAAAGGCGTGTTACGAATAGACTGCTCTAATTTACATTTCCTTCACCATTCAGAGACTGGTTTCCAGAAGTAGTTTATAATTTTTTAAAGACTACTGGTCATAGCTGGTTAAACTCTCTACGCCGCCTTGTCGAGCTAGTTATGTCAGCTTCTTAATGCTAAAAAGATAGAAATACAGGTTAGCATTGCTCGATTTTTTGGTTAGGTTTAATTTTGCTACGAATACAATCTCAGCATTGGCGATTTATCCAACAACCTATTGAACCATTGTACTCTCCGTTACTTTATCCATTCCATGACATTACCATCCGACGAATTGTGGTGTCCAATAAAATCTGTTTTCAGTACATTAAGAGTATTCTCTACTACTGGCTAGACTTGCTTCCTTGACTTGTATACTAGGGACATCCTCGACGGTAGATGTAGAGATGAGCGGCCAGTATTCCCTAAATTTTTTACGCACTTTAATTGTTCGCAGGCATTCTTACCTACAGTTTTTAATCAATCATATCAGATTTCAGGTTTTATTTTATTCTTTGTTGTTTTCTAACAAATTGGAAATAATATTGGTTCGAAGAAATGTTTCATTTTTGCGCCTTTTTTTTCACAAAATGCCTTTTACATAAAATTTTTTAAAACTTTTACCATTTTCGATGTTAGGCTATCTCAACTGATAACTTCAGAAAAATTTTAGGAATTGCAATAGAAGTATAGATGAATCGCTAACATCATTCAGAGTTTTGTTAAGCAGTTTACTGCTTGGATCACCACTGACGAATTAAACACTTGGATGTTGGATGTTCCTAATTACATTTTTGATGCTTAAAGTCTTGGCATTGACACAGATGGACATTCCTAGGAATGTTGTATAAGAACTGCAAAAATTCTTCAAATAAATTGGAACTCTTCAGTTTCTGAATATATAGATTAGTTTGCCTTGATTGATATGCTTTATAATATATATATACTTTTAACTTTTTCTTGCTATTAATTCCTAATGAAATTCTGGGGGGTTTTAAATGCAACATATTCACTTCTTTTGTGCAATCTTTTTTTAGTGTCGTTATTTGATCTCATATAGATTCAACAAAGATTCAAAATGCAGTGCAATACAATAATTGGATTTCATTAAATTTTTTTCCCGTCACAACACCTATCATAATACCCAGGCAAGTCGAATTCACAGAGTTTATCGCTATTGCAAAATGAACCGTTTTGGGCGCATTTCCAACCTCTATGACATCGCTTCCTTTTGCATATAATTTGTTGAATTCCCTTCTGAAGCAGAATTGTGAGGGACATTGGATTTCTGAGGACTTCAGTCCGATATCAGCATCTGGGCTTTTGTCAAATTATTAGTTTCTAAGAATGACACCGGTTTTTTCTTGTATTTTGTTAGATACATCAAAGATAGATCACAGTAGAATGAATCTTTTAAATAAGCAAAAGATAACGTAGAGTGGTCAAATTTTCTTTTTAAATGTCCTCACCATTACTGCTTGGTTAAATTCGCTCCGTTGGTTTATCGCATTGGGCAAATATGCGAGAAAGTCCCTTAGTGATTGAAATACAGGTGAATCGCCAGCATAACCTGTATTTTTTACGGGTTTATTTCTGCGGGAATAGAATAGAATAGCATCGACGCTCCGAACTGAGCAATAAACCACTGAGCAATTTTATCATATCGTGGCCAATATTTTAATATTGTAATATTGTAAATAGTGATTATATAACCACTGATATCTTGATATGTTTCCACTGTCTTCACTGTTATCGTTATATGAACGCATTAGCTGGAAGAGATATATTTTGCATCAAATAGATATTGAATATTGCTTAGGCCGCATTTTTCACCATCGTAAAAATCATTATAGCTCGCAATATTTTAAAAAAATTCTACCAAACCTCCAATCAATAGGTTTCATCAGCATTTATTTATTGCTAGTTAGAATTCCTCCGCAGGTTTGTCCAGCTAGGCAAATATGTTAGTTCCTTGGCGATACAAATATAGGTGAATTGCCAGCAGTATCCGGATTTTCGCCAGATTAATTCTTATTGAGAATAAAGCTCAG